ACCAGGAGCGCGGTTTAGGCCACAATCCTAGATCTGCAGTGCACGCGCAGAGGTTGAAAGACGTGCAATTTATAAATCCGCCAACCTATCAGCGTGACGAACAAATGCTGGAATTCCTAATCCCCTTAAGTAAATGAATTTTCACCCTGTTAGGAATCCAAGCTGTAATGCACATTTATGACTCAATGACAGGCTTTTCTGTGATTTCCGCCTGAAATGAGCAACATGAGAAAATAAAACTTTCACACTCATGCATGATATTCTGCCCTTTCCTACTAGAGAGGAAGAAGAACTAAAGCTCACGCTCGTGTTATGTTAAAAAAAAAATTCTCTGACTTCCTTCGCTGTGTTTGATGGTGGTTTGTGTGTATCTGCGATGTGAAGGACATGTGAGCAAAAAACGCCCGTGGCTAAGTACTTTTGCTCTTTGGTTGCAGTTGGTGGGTTTGTTTTCTGGATGTTTGGCTCTTACATAAACTACATTTTTGACCTTTTCTTTTTAAAAGCGCCCAGATGATGACAAAAAAATCAGAACCTCCCACCTACACTTAAATAAATAAATACAGTGACACAGAGGACCTGGTACCTGAAACACCATTGTGGGCTGGTTCTATTATGTCATGTGAGATGGAACTAGCTGTTTATGTTAATATATGTTTAGCTCAGGGCGACTATTCCCTCAGTTATTTAAAGAAACAAATTATTTCAGGATCAGCTCCTCTACCCCGTGGCACATGCTCCTCTTTCACTGAAATAATTCTCTCTGCTGGGGAAGGGAGAGAGGGAAGGAATAGGAGAAAGAATCTGTGCGTCATGTAATATTCCCTCTGAATGTATAACTTTCAAATATTTGTGAGGAAATTTAAAATGTGGATTACAATCTGTTTAACCTGTGTTTCACAGGCTTTATAATTGGCTATTCAAATTCTGCTCTGATGTTCAGTGTAAAATCGATGCAAGGCTAATGGATGTAAATGTCAAGTGAATTTGTTTGATATTCATAAGTCAGATCAAATAAGAGCAGGAAGGAAAGAGATTACCATTTCCCCCCCCAAATTTGGTCCAATATCAGGAAGTATTCACACATTGGCTCGTGTAAGAGATGTGAAGGAGGCTGTATCTCCCTATCTGAGCTGCTTCTCAAGGCTTGGATGCAGTTGAACTCTGATGTCTGTCTCGATGTTATTCAAGTCAAGGATCTCTTGATGAAGTTCTACTCGCGAGAGAGTGAACGCGATGGAAGATTGTTTTATGACTGCAGCCACCACAGAAACACATTTTGTTTGTGGTTTATTTCAGACGTGCGAGCAACTGAAGTATCTGATTTAATTACTTCTGTTTTGTGAGACGTGTTTACTCCTCGTGCATCTTTACGCTTCAAGGCTGCGGCTTCCAATTATTTTGCACGCTAAATATGACTTCCCGGAGTGTGATGTGATGTTGTTTAGAGCTAAACTCGCCAGCAACATAAGCTCGAACACTCGGTTGGGATAAAGACTATGCAACTTTTCAGACCAGTGTCAAACAATAAAAATACATGTAGAGGAAGTGTGTGAAATTTCAGGGTGACATTTTGGAAAAATATTGGTACCTGAGTGCCTCCGTTGGCCTGTTTTGCATGGTCGTGAAGCAAATGATATTTGTGTGAAGTGAAGCACTCACCACACAATTCATGCTCACACACCTGCTTTCCCCGAGGCCAGCTGTGGTGTAAAGACAGCTGGCTATCTGCCACTGCATTTGAAAGGAAGCGTCAGTATGTTTTCTTTCCAACCCTCACTCATGTGATTTGCAGACCTGTGTGTTTACTATGACAGGCCTCTTTCTTGCGATAGTACGTGCATGCAGTCTCCTTAGCATATAATGCGTCCGTATGACAAACGCTTCCACATTTAGACAAGAGGAGCAGAGGCACTAAACGCTCTCTGATAACTCCCTTATAAAACCTTATCAGTAATTATGCCGGCATTATGTAGGTCAACTTCCTTGCTCCGCTTTTTCATTCTTAACTTTGCACATAATCGCACATGCTGACAAGCATTAATAAACCACTGCAACCTTGAGGACACCACGGCCACGCTTTGGAATGTTAATGTTATAATAAGTGTACATGAACGAGTGAGCACTAATAACTCTCAATATATTGGAAGAAGGCTCATGTAAATGTTTAGCATGCGGATCCTTCTCTGTGTTTCTGAGTCATTCCTTATTCTGGTCATCTGAGGATCCCTGCGCTTTTTCACAGTGCGTGTGCCGTTGCCGAGCACGTGCCTGCCAGTGGTGTGAAGGGGATGAGAACTGATAGCTCTATATATAGAAATATATGTATGTGGAGGCTTAAGACTGGACCGTTTGCAGGAGAACGGAGGCTTGCCAGGCATACTAACGAGGGTTTCTCAGGCTGGTCTGTACATGCCATCTATTAGCTGTAGGCACGCATTCTTTGTATTTATATCTTGACGTTTTCAATCCTTTAGAGTTGAGCTGTGTGTGTGTGTGTGTGTGTTTGGGTATGTGATTGGTGTTACTTGAGCAGCTAAGGGGGAACACAGGAGGTGGGCTATAGTATGACTCAGACTGGAACAGCTGACTCTATGTGTGTGTGTGAGCGATGGTGTCAGGCCCCGAGCTGTCAAACTCCAACACCATCATGGTCGTTCCCCCCCCCGATCTCAGGATCATGCTCTGTTACACAAGAGCCTTAAATGTGTGTGTAAATGCAAAGTGGGCTATACAGTATCTGCATCCCCTATCCTCTTTCTCTTCTAGTCCTTTTCTGTCCTTCTTCCACATATCTCCAAATTTCCTAAACACTTATGAGGTTCCAGAGTGCAGCAGGGCAGAGAAAGGAGGATGCTGCATTGTGTAGGGCGAGCAGATTAAAAAAAAAAAAAAACACACGATCAAGCAAAAAAAAAAAAACAAGGTATCGGGTGTGCGTCACCGACAGGAGGCAAGTAAGTACAGCAGCACCCTTAACCCTCACTCTTACAGAACACGTCTTGTCACTTACGTGTAAGTTCCTGGAAGTTACATGATAATAAATGTAACTACTGAAGCCCACAAAAACAACAGCAACAACAAAAAACATCAAATACCACATGAAAGCTAAGCGATTCTTTGAAAATGTACCGCAATGCTTGGTTCGCTCCCCGGAGTGGGTGTGGATTTTAATTTTGGATTTCCTGGGGAACATCACTATCATTACTGTCATTACTGTTATTGTTCCTCTTCTTATTGACCCTGGGGCAGAACGGCTTCTTTTAGTTGTTGACATTGCACAAGGCGCGGAGTTTACTGCTGCAGCGAGTTTCTCCCAAAGCATTTTAATGGAAGCTCTGCTTAGATAACTAGATTAAACATAATTAGTTGGAGTCTTTTTTTAAATAGTTTTTTTTAATAATGAGAAAGACAAACTGAAAAAAAAATAGCCTTCGGAAATAGTCATAGTTTTTGTTCTGAATAAGTATATATTTTTGACCTATTATACTACCTGCACTTGTTTCAGGGGACTCGTTGTGGCTACCACTGGTGGTTCATCTTCCTCCCATTTAATAACTGCAGGAGTTGTATATTCTGATAAAACTGTTGTTTCAGCAGAAAGTGCAACGATAAACCAATAATGCCGTTGAGTGCTCACTGCAGGGATGACAAGAGTCTTTTTCAAAGGGCCTGCCCACGCTGGAGTGCTGCATTTGGTATATTGGTCATGTCAGATCCCCTCTCTCTAATTACTTGCTGTGGAGCATATAAACAAGATGTCCTGTTAGACTCTTCCATCCAGTGGCAATATGCTCGTGGGAGTTGTTTGGAAAGAACGAGCATCAGACGCACTGTCAACTTTAACGAGCTTTTGAAGAGTTTGTTTAACTGGTGACCACAGAAGTTTTCAGGCTGAAGTCGATCGAAAGGGCTTACGAGGCTGCATAAAAAACAAAAAAACATATGAAACGAGGTCACGAATGGGTGAGTTAAGGATAAATTCTCTCCAGACAGCCACTGATATGTCATTCTCTGAGTGGTCTCTTCATCCTCTTATCCCCTGCTACACCCACCGCAGCGGTCCGGGCCTGTGAGTTTAGGATGATGGGATTTTTTGGAAAGGTGTGTGTGTGTGTGTGTGTGTATTGCAGGGGGGGGAAGGCAGAGCGTGGGAGGGAAAACACGACAGGACTCAATCCGCGCACAGATTAAATGCAGATTGATGTTTCTCTCAGAGAATCGTCACCTCTCGCTCCAGATTATAAACTGACCACATCATAAGGGCAGGGAGTTGAAGGGATTGAGTGCAAAACTATCATGCGGCAAGATATTTTACTTGAAATTTCATAATGATAATCTCCTTTTCAGTATTAAGAGTGTTCCTAATCCCTGCATATGTGTAATTTGATACTGTAATGCTAGGCAGAGAGGCATGTGTTCCAAATTCTCGTTTTAAGTTTTTTTTTTCTTTTTAAAGGTGACATCATGGATTATATAACTGCGTTTTGTTTGGCTTCCCTGCATGTGTTTGCGAGTGTGCCTGGATAGCTACGCGATGACATATTTCATCTTAACCATAACTGAAGATGAGATAATCCAATGAGTGTTTACGGTCATCATTCGGAGCAAACATCAGTTCAAGTTTGAGCCTCAAGTGTGGACTATAGTTCACAAATTCCACGATTACTCAGCAGGTTAAGGCCCTACGTGCAACACGCTCTGGGATCCAAGGTTTTTTTTTTTTTGCCTTGACAGCTTTTGTCTGTTTCAATCTGCACCTCTCACTCCCCTCTGGCCAGCATAAATTGTTGGGCTATGATGCAATCCATCGTCCCTGCTAGTTCAAGCTTCCCAGCCAATGGGAGCGCGGCAGTAGGAGGGTATCCAGTCAGTTCATGCTTGTAAACAGCACTGACAGTAGGAGGGACTTTCAATTTAGAGTCCCACCCTCTGTTGTCATCCCCGCTCAGCCTTTTTCAGTGTGTGCATTGACGAAAAAAAAAAAAAAGGAAAAGCAAGAGAAGGAAAAGGAAAAAGGAAGAGTGGTCAGCGGGGGCCGAGGGTAGAGACGAGAGCAGGCGTGAGTGTGTGAGTCAGGGACGTTTGCGGGTTCTTTCAGCGCTGCACTGACTTCACACAGAGCTGCCATGAAGCCTTCTAGACTGACGCACTCCACTCTCCTGACAGTAGGTAGTCTCTCTGTCAACTCTGTGCTTGTTTGTCCTTATGTACATGCTTGTGTGCATGTGTGACTTTACGGTATCAGCTTGGCTGTCACCACGCTGGAGTGTGTGTGTGTTTGTACAAGGCTGTCAGCACGTATTCGACGGTGCTGTACAGGTGCATGGCAGTGAGCAGACAACAGAAGCAATGATACTTTTACTGTGTTAATTCAGTTCTCTACTGAAATGTCCGTCTCTCTCTGTCCATTTCCTCTGCCTTTTTGTTGAACTGGGAAGAAGACTTTTAATTTCCTGCCTTCCCTACCGCCTTTCTTCCACGTCATTTCCATGCCTGTGCCGTACACATAAACAATGAGGATCCTATTGTATGGTAAAACAACAACAGAGCTTTCAGTTCTGGATGAGACAAATAAAAGGGTCACTTTTGTTTGCTGTAAAGCCAACCGTGAATAGAAGCATTGTTTGTTAACTGCATGGGTGTTAGCTTGTTGTCACACACAAACCTGCTGGACACATGCACTTGAAAACACACACACACACAAACAATTAGTTGCACATGCAAATACTGTAATCCTGTAAGAGTTTAGGGAATTACTCAGGCTAAGGTCACCAGCAACATCACTGCTGTTATTACTGTGTGTGTAATGGCCTGGAGCATTATAACACATTTCATTTTTATGCCATTAGTTGACAGCTCTCTGCAAGATGTGTCTTCCTGGAGGACTGCAGGAAGCTTCCTGCGGTCCTGCCTGGGCCTGGCTTTATCCCATCCTGCTGTCTCTGACTGCAGAGCCTAAATTCTAAATCTGCATGCCTTCACTCACTTTAAAGCCTGTCAGTTAACTGGTCATGGTTACTTTGGAGCATTGAAACTAAGCGGTGTGGCCTACTTAGAAGTTTAAGTGGGCATGAATGAAGATGGAATCGTGTCAATCAGTCAGTCTGCTGAACTCGTATATATGAACATGCTCAAGAGCACCCACTCATGTGCACGCATGCATAAGTGTCGCATGTGTTTAGGGTTGCCGTTTTTGTCCATTTTATCGTAGTAAAGCTGGAGCATGCGAGAGCTTCGACAAAGCCTCATGTGTTTCATGCATCAGCGAAACTGGGAGTTCAAAAGAAACGTTAAACGAAGTTTACATTTTTGAAATTTGCCTCCTCTGACAGGGAACAGATGGTTTAAACATGCGTGCTGCTCCTTTCATGTGCATCCCAATGTTTTGAAGAACTCTCACTTGGGATTTATTAGACGCCAGATCTTCTTTTACAGCCGTCCACCCAAGAAGTAAACAAATGGACACCAGCAACCTCACTCCCCAGCTGTCCAAAGACCAGTGGTCTTATTTTAGCTTCACTGTCATTACTTCCTCGCTTACCCACTAATACATGAGCCTAAATTTAGACAGACGTCATAACAGATATGTTAGCATCGGTGTGTTCTAGGACAGAGAGAGAATGACGGAGGAGTTTGAGAACTATACGGAAGAACATCCTGTGGTTGATCCTCCTTTAATCCTACATTCTATCAAGACACATTCAAGCTGGTTTGTTTTGTTTTTTTCCATCAGAGCCAAACAGAGACAACTGGATAGTCTTGAAGTACTTGTTTAAAGTACAGGATTTATAAGGAACAATGCATATTTGTATTCAGACAAACCATAAGCTACTTACCCCTAATCATTTCCGTCAGACACCCTGCCTGTCCCTAACCAGAGTGTGAATGTGACGTGTCGCTCTTGTGGCTGACAGCTTTAGACGTGACCTTTACCCTTCCAGTCTGGAGACTGTATGTCATTGGATCCTCTTTGCGAAAGACTGGAAAGATACAGCCTGGCTCCTACCCAATCTTATCATGTGTGTGTGTCTGCGTGTTTGTGTGTGTGTGTGTGTGTATGTGTGGGTGTGTGTGTGTGTGTGTGTGTGTGAGCACGCACATGGTGGGCAACAACTGACAATAGGACATGAGCAGAGACGGGACATGGGGGATTGAGAGCTGTATTAGATCCAGCAGCGACAGATGTGCAGACAGGAGGAGAGTCTGGTGGGGGATGATGATTGTCAGTGTGTTTGTTTGTGTTTCCGTGCACGGACGTGTGTGTCCTTTTCATTGACTATGTAATGTTCCTAACTACTACACATCTTAAAGCACTTCCGTGTGAGATGTGAGATGTGCTGCTCGCTCATCCCTGGGTTTGTATGAGCATGTCTGTGTTTGATACATGAATAATATATGCGCTGACCTACTGAGAAAACGTAGCTGAACTACATCGCTGGAACCAGTTAGCAACACGGAGATAAAAATGACATCCACGGTGTTTAATAAAGGTGTCGATTTAAGACACAAATCAATTCAGGTGAAACTGTTGTCTGACAAACACACGTCTTCTTATAACTTGTGTTTTCTTCAGTTAACATCTGATCTCCTCGCTTGATTCACACACTAAGTGCTTGGCAATGAAAACATTCTTCAGGAGCGTCTTTATTGCTGTAATTATTTTTGCCATATGTGTTGGGCTGATGAATATGAAAGTGGGCCATGCGGAGGCAGCGCTGGTTTATGTTGCTAGGCAGGATATCCATACCTTGCAGCTGTATCTCTATAATAGATGAGATTATGTAAGACGTGGGGCTCCTCTGTTCTGGTCACTTCACATATTGTACATGTTGTACAGTCATGACCCTACTTTGTGAAGTGTGCTAAGATGGCTTCGTTTGTGAATTATTGCTATTAAAATTGAATCAAATTGAAATGTGGAGGTTTACAATAAATCAGTGGCAACATGGAAAATTTTGCATTGTTGAACTTACAAATCAAAGGATATTGTACAGTAACACAACTCTATGTTTAAAGACAACATGATCTCTTATTCAAATACAACAACAAGTGTTGCCTTTCCACCAGGCTTAGAGTACACTGCAAATACAACTGCAATGTAAAGGACGTATGTGAAGTAGATGTTTGTTTTTTAAGTTGTTAAAGCATATCTTTCAATCCAGAGGCCATTCTACGGTACGGAGCAAAACAAAGTGACACCTCACCAGTAATTTTTAAACTGTAAAGACTAACACAATACAAAGGAGCACAGCTGCTCCAGAGCACTTTCAGTTTGCGTGTGAAAGGTTCAAGTGTAGGTGAAACTGCCACAACAGGTCCCACGCATCAAGCGTGTAAGTATTTTTAGCATGTTTTTGTGTGCCTTCGAAGCCAGGAAAACTTGTTTTAATTCAGTGTTGTGGATTTGTAATGAAATTCCCATGTGCACTGATTGTTTAGTTACAAAGCCTTTTGTTTCTTCTTCGTTCTTTTCCTTTTTCTTTTCTTTTTTTTTTTTTTTGTTAATCAAAAGCCAGGCAACATGGCCATACTGGTTTGTCTACATTAGCTGTCTTCACACTCAGCGCTACCGCATGCCTCTCTCAGCTCTCTTTCACATGCCGTTTGTCCGGTATTAACCTAGAAGTAACACTTTTTTTTTTTTGTTCTGTTTAAGGAATTAAACTGCTTTGTTAACTTTGGTTCCTGGTACCTCCTGTGGGAAGTTTTCTGAGCATTAACGGCCCTGAAAGTGACACTCAGCAGAAATCTGAGTGTGGACGTGACCGTTTTTTTCCTAACAAGCAAGTTTCATAGTTTAATCTTTGTCTTTTTTTTATTCCAGGTTAACTGCTGTCATTGTCCGCGGCTTTAAATGTCCTCTGCCATGGCCAAGCGTGAGGCTGGGAGCACCAGCCCTGTGGTGCGTCAGATAGACAAGCAGTTTCTGGTCTGCAGCATCTGTCTGGATCACTATCGCAACCCCAAGGTCCTGCCCTGCCTGCACACCTTCTGTGAAAGGTAACTAACATTTCTGCACTAATTACCTACACTTTCCCCCAAGCTGAATCTGACGCAGTCTCTGCTTTTTTTTTGCTACCTGTAGCTTTTTCTGGCCATGCAAAGAGTGTATAACACATGTTTTACTGTAGCTGTTCCCTTGCTGGTATTTCCCATCTCTGTTTTTGTGGAATTCTTGTCATATTAACAGGTCCCCTAATAGAAAAACCTCATCAGTTGCAAATCCCTACACACAATTAAACAGCTCAGAGCACTTCTCTTCATTGACTCCGCTGGGATAAGTGCATTCCTGAGCATCAGGGACCGTCGAGGACTGCCGTCTGGGAAAAAAAAAAAGACTCATTGTTGGGAGACACAATTACAAAGGCTCAATCTGCAGTTACTTGGGAAAGACGACACCCCCTCAGGCGATATTACTGGAGCCTTTCTCGTGTCGAGCCGAACAGAGGAGGGCTTTCAGTGAGCTTGTTACGGGTCAGGGTGGGAAGATGGAGACAGAAGAAGGGGCTCGTTGTCATGTACAGAAGAAAACCAGGACTCTGTTTACTTCTAAACCTATGATCAAGCAAATATTTACGGCATAGTTCTGAATAGTCACACAGTGTGAGATAAATCCTTTTTCCGTGAGTGTGTGTGAGGGGCATTTGCCCACCGGAGGGCAAGCTTAATCCCCGGTTTAACTGGGTGGCATGTGATCTGGAGTCCTGCTGAGGTGAACAGATTTTTGTCTGGAACTATATGTGATGTTGCCAGACAGATGTTTTAATACTGCCATGGATTTATGTAGTTTGACGGAGGTTTGGGATGCGGTGCAACCCCCTGCTGGGTCTATTTTGTTGGGTGTTGTAGCTGTTTTATTTTGCTCCCTGTTTCCTCATCCTGTGATTATCTGTCATTAAGCATGTAAATTTAAGGCTACAACTGCCTCCTAATATCCTATTTGTGTGTCTGCACTGCAGTTACTCTTGCTGGTGATGCCAAAAAATTACATCTTGCTACATTAGGGCCACATGGCTACTTTTGGACTGTATGATGCGCTAAAAACATCAATTTAAAGATGTCAGTCTGGATTTTTTTTGCGGTTTTCTGACATTCTAGAAAGCAAAAACAGGTAATTGACCAAAAGGCACTACCTTGCCTGCAGGTCCTATCTGGCTTACTGTTTGACAAAGCAAAAGTCATTCATCCAGATTTAGAGTGTGGTTTTGACAGAGCATTAGATAGCTCATGTTGTTGTTCAAGCTCTCAGATGGCCTCAGAAGCAGAGGGCTTAGTTGATACAAGCCTGTGCGGTTTCATAAATTAAATATAATAGTGTTAGTTTGCAGCCCAAGCAGCTGCCAGACATACTTGTGTACAACAACACAGACTGAATTGGTGGGGTCTCTTACAGTATTTACTACCAATTCAGTGATGGTAGAAGCTAAAGAAACAACAACCGTCCATCACCTGCTGGACGGCAGCCGGGCTGTAGATCATGAGTGCAGTGTAATCTGCATATTGCAGCTGAATTGTGCTGACTGAGTTTTGGTTATGGCTTGAAGGTGTCTTGTGTTATTGATTGCCTCCTGAGGGCAACCAAGCCTGCATAACACCCTCAGCCTTTAGGGGCCAGTGGGATAGACGTGTGACTGCTGCCACCGTGAAGCTTGGCCAGAATACAAAACCTTCTTTTGTGCACACACGCAAATATGCAGAAGCATAAACAAATATGCTCGATGAAGTATTTGACCACTTAGTGTCTCTGTTAAGCAGACTGGATTGCCAGAGATTCAATTGCTCTAAGTCAAAGTGTGCATTTGGAGGCTTTTGGCTCTGAGTATTGACTCAGATCCACACTTTTCCCCTATTTGTTGTGACAGGAGCACTATTTAGGCAATGTCTCTCAATTATGGTGTTGACAGCTCTCTGTCCCTTCCTCTCCTTCTCCGTCTGCTCGATTGGTGAACTGAAAATGACAGATATTTTACACATGAAGCAAAGCAAAAAATAAATTACTCTGGTAGATTTTAAGTACTGTTTTCTTTATTTGTCAACTCCCTCCTTCCAGTTGTCTGCAGAACTACATTCCCCCAGAGTCCCTGACACTCTCGTGTCCAGTGTGTCGGCAGACGTCCATCCTGCCAGAGAAGGGAGTTTGCGCTCTGCAGAACAACTTCTTCATCACTAATCTCATGGAGGTTTGACTTTCAATCCATTTTTTTTTTACTCGAAAAACAAATGCACACATTTATCTGAATTTTCATGTAAATTACATAGAACAAAAGAAAAAAAAAAAACAGAGAACTGCTAAAAACAATTAGACAGTAGGCCTACTAGGCAGAGTGTGTTAGTGTGATCTTTCAGTTTTGTGGGAACCACTTTTTGTGAGAGGGAGGGAACACATTTTCGTAGACTGAGGTCATTCTGGAGGACACTCCTGAAGATTTATTTGAGATTAAAGATGGGGAGGTTTCCATCAGGCATGTAGTGGTGGTAATTGGAGCTAGCATTAAGATATAGGGTCTTAAAATGATGAATGAAAGTCCTATAATGTGTGTTTGTCTCCTGGAGAGGATGAACAGACGAGTTAAATGTTTTAAAAGAAGCAATTCTATGCTACACTGAATACTTAAAAAAAAATTTACACACACAAAACAGACAGATGATCATATGTCTTGTGAAACTTGAAAAAGTGCACATGATGAGGTCTGTAATGTTCTGTACTAGGTCCTTCAACGAGAACCAGAGTGCTCGCGGCCTGAGGCCTGCAGTGTGCTGGAGTCAGTCAGCGCTGCAGCTGCAGGGAAGCCTCTCTGCTGCCCAAACCATGAGGGAAAGGTGAGAAGCCCCTCTGTGATACCTCAGCCCACTCATCACCTCAACAAAAATGCCCTGCCTGCTTTGTTTCGAGCAGTAATTAATACAAAAGAAACCAAATTCTTTTCTCACCTGCGATGCTCAGCAGGAGAGAATGACTCAGTTTGTCTCCCTCTGCAGGTGATGGAGTTCTACTGCGAGTCATGTGAGACAGCCATGTGTCTGGAGTGTACAGAGGGCGAGCACCGGGAGCATGTGACCGTTCCTCTCCGGGATGTCGTGGAACAGCACAAGGCTGCGCTGAAGACGCAGCTGGATGCCATACGCAGCAGGTGGGAACTCCATACCTCGGTTAAGCTTTCAGAAGATTTCTTTCACCCTGGGTGTTTGGAAGCTTAAGTGTTTGGCCCAGATCATAGGTGGTGATCTGTGCAGTGCTGTGCTCAGTATGTCAAACATTTTCATTCATCAGATAATTTTTCAGTTAAATTTCAGATTAAGTTGGGATTTAATATGTGATCATAGTTTGGTTTGATTGCTTTTTACATTTACGGATGACGTATTTTTCATTCCTGCAGGCTCCCTCAGCTAACAGTAGCCATTGAGCTGGTGAGTGAGATCTCTCGACAGCTGAATGAAAGGAAGAATGAGGCAGTAGCAGAGATCATCAGTACTTTTGAAGAGCTGGAACGGGTGCTGCATCAGCGCAAGACGGCCCTTATCACAGACCTGGAGAACATCTGCAGCACTAAGCAAAAGGTTAGGTGTTTCACAGATTCACATATTCAGTACATGCACTCGTGCATATAAACTTGAATCCTTCTGCTCACATGCATTGTTACACAAAAGTTTCAGCCGAAGCACACTTATTGTCAAACTCACAAACACACACATTAGGACTGGGTTGTTATATCTCTCACATGCCTGACTTAATGAGAAACTTTTCTTGCTCCCTAAACATTTCCCCCCCATTTCCCCCTTTTTCTGTCTTCCACTTGCTTTCTCTCATCTCTTTTGTGTCCCTCTTCCTCCTCTTTCCTGCGCACAGGTTCTACAGGCCCAGCTTTCATCTCTCCTCCAGGGGAAGGAACACATCCAGAGCAGCTGCAACTTTACAGAGCAGGCTCTCAGCCACGGAAGTGCCACTGAGGTACGCTGGCACAGCATATGGGAAAAGCAGCCGTCAAAGCAGGATCTTTTTTATTTAGTAATAGAGTATTTTTGTACTAAAAGACACGTATGACAAAATGACTTAGAATAAAGTATATGTCTCCTGCAAGTACAGGTCCTGCTGGTTCAGAAGCAGATGAGCGAGCGGGTGACAGCGCTGGCCAGACACGACTTCCCGGAGAAACCGCATCAGAACGCACACCTGGACTGTCAGGTATTGAATGATGAGATTTAAACTGTTCCTCTGCTTTCTGTTTTCATTACAGTAGTCTGCCTGATAATCCCACATCGTCGCATTATGCAATCGGAAGCAATACTTTAATCCACACTGGGTATCTGGGGAACAGTTGCTTTGTTTGTTTAGTTTTAACCTTTCTGTTGACAATTTTTGCTTGTTATCATTAATGATCTCATTTGGGATCATTAATTGGGATCAACTGCTGACATTAGCGAAACATATTAAGCTTTAGAATTTTGCTTGACAACTACTTTGGCTACTGGTGTAATAAAACAAACCTTGATGTATTATGAGCGTGTTAGTTGTTACCAGACAGTCTAGTCTTGTTACTGATAACAGACACAGAGCAACATGAGCATCCTTTATAAGTCCACTATACTGTCTTAATTTGCTTCTATGTTTTCCCACACTAACCCTGTCCTAACCCCTGTAATGACATCGTGACAGATGTTTGACTTTACTTTTGCAGTAATCTGTCCCATGCATCACATGGAAAAACGGGCAAGAATTAAACTTTAGAAAGCGATAACAGATGCTACACTCTAAACTATCTGATGTGCTTTCTGCTGCAGGTGGAGACTGAAGGTCTGCGACGCTCCATCCAGAACCTGGGTGTTCTCATCACCACAGCAGCTGTTGCTCACACCTCCGTCGCCACAGGAGAAGGCCTCCGCCACGCAGCAACCGGGCAGCACCACACTATTACTGTGACAACAAAGGACAAAGTAATGTCTTTATGTTGTTTAGCCTCACCATCATATTATCATTGGCGACATGTGTAGAGTGAACTGTGGATAAAGTGGTATTTTTCTTTAGTTTGTGTGATAACATTTTACATTAGAATTCATATTGATAGTTTTTTATCTGGCTGCTCTGGTCACCAAAGGCACAAAACAGGAATTACTGTAATCAAAACAAGTCTGTAGAAAGTGCTGCCTTAGAGGCTGCAGCCATGAGTATATTGTTTAAAAACCTGAGATATTTTTTGTTGTTGTTCCTGTTGTTGTGAAATTGATTCAATAACCCTATCTGCAGGACGGGGAGTTGGTTCGGACAGGAAATGCTGTTTTAAAAGCAGAGATAACGTCTGCTGACGGGAACCGGGCTGCAGAGACGGAGATAACGGACAATAAGAACGGAACATACGAGGTGGGCTACACGGTACGCTCTGAGGGGGAGTACTCATTCGCTCTGTTGCTGTACGGACAGCCGATACGAGGCAGTCCTTTCCGCCTGCGGGCAGTCAAGCCGTCAGATGTTCCGCAATCCCCAGATGACGTGAAGAGGAGGGTGAAGTCCCCCAGTGGGACTGGAGGCCACATACGGCAGAAAGCGGTGCGACGGCCTTCCAGCATGTACAGCACCACCAAGAAAAAGGAGAATCCCATTGAGGACGAGCTCATCTACAGAGTGGGTAAGACAAATGAGGACTTGCAGGAAACGCACAAAATGCCTTCTGCAAAGATGTTTTATCTCTTTAATTACAAATCAGAAATATGTAACAGAACGAAAAACTAATTTCTGAACCATAAATCAAGTTTTTAGATTGGCGTGCTCCCCTCCAGGCAGCTGATGTTTTCAGTCTGCAGTACAGAGGGAAAGTCAATTTGCTGATTGTTTTGCATTTTGCAAATCGGATAATGAGAATTTGGTGGTGGCTGGTATTAAAAATGTTGACAGTCTTTCAGGTTTTCGATGTCAGAGTGTCACCACCAGCCAATGTAATATAACATCCACAAATAAATGACGCTGTAACACTCTAAGTGTGATGGATTACCTTGCACAAGCAGATCTTTTAGGTTTTTGCAAGTTCTTCTTTTTTTTAAACTGTAGTCACATAAGTCAAAACCTCCATTTGCCTGGAAGGTAGTGAAGTAATCTAAAAAAAAATAATGCATCCTTTAAAAAATGATCACCATCAATGCACAGCATAAGCATTTTTAACCTAAAACCACTGCCTTTAAGGAAACGCGTTATGCGTATCGAGACTAATGCGACAATATCAAATCGCACATTTACTGAGTGTGTAATTGTGTTTCTGTCAGGTTCTCGGGGCAGAGAGAAAGGGGAGTTCACAAACCTGCAAGGAATCTCAGCCTCTAGTAACGGCAGAGTGGTGGTGGCAGACAGCAACAACCAGTGCATTCAGGTGAGACAAACAGACAGGAAAACTGCGTGTAGGTACTTGTAGCGCTGTGACCGGAGTGAACGACTGATTCTTTGATCTCAATGATTACAGGTGTTCTCCAACGACGGCCAGTTCAAGATGCGCTTTGGGGTCAGAGGTCGATCTCCGGGGCAGCTGCAAAGACCGACGGGCGTCACTGTGGACATGAACGGTGACATTGTGGTGGCCGACTATGACAATCGATGGGTCAGCATTTTCTCCTCTGACGGCAAGTTTAAGGTAAGATTTCAGACCTTGTATTATCTTAGCAGCACCGAGTACCTCATTTTAGGCTTATTCATGTAGGTTTGCGTTCTGTTCTCCAGCATTAGCCTCTTGCTTTCTTGAGGGAAAACACAATAAATACCAGATATAACATGAACATGGTTTAAGAATCCTTTTAAGATCTTTTTGTTCTGTGTTAAAATCCTCCTTGTCTTCCTTTTGTCAAAGAATAAAATCGGCGCAGGCCGGCTCATGGGTCCTAAAGGTGTGGCAGTGGATAAGAATGGACACATCATCACTGTGGACAACAAGGCCTGCTGTGTCTTCATCTTTCAATCCAACGGGAAGCTTGTGACTAAGTTCGGAGGCAGGGGGACGTCCGACAGGCAGTTTGCAGGTGAGAAGGAGGCCGAGACTTTTAACAGCATATCTTTCCAACACCTACAGCATACAAGCGGTGCCCTCTTTTCCAGTTATGCAATCTATCCGCGATGCAGCAGAATCAACCAGCTTTTAAAGTAAACCTGTAAACAGTTCGACAAAATATGCGACAACACAAAATAGAATAAGGTTACTACATATGTGTTATTTTGAGCTTATGCAACACGTTTTGCAACTTGCACTTGTCCTTTGTTTAGGATTCACATATAAGAAAAAAAGCAGTCATTGTGAACACCCTGACTAATCTTTGTGCCGTTAAAATGTCAGCCCGAGGCAACAAACAGCGTACAGAACATTCGCAGCAGAAATGTAAGCCTGTGTACTTATCTGGCATAACTTCAAATGATTGCAGCGTCTCCGCTCCCCCCACAAACTGCGTCAGTGCTGACCACCCAGCTCTTATTTTCTTCTTTGCTTATCTTCATCTCTGACAACCAATTTTTTTTTCTTTCTTTCTTTCTGTTCTTCCTTTCTGTTTTCCAATTCAGAAAAACTTGGCCCAAACTTTAATAAATCTGGCTCAGTGTTCAGTAAGTACTAAGTGTGGCCTTGCTGCAACCTTAATCCCACAGTGCAGTGCCCTCTGTCTAACCCAATTCCCTGATCATGTGTCTGACCTCCTGAGAGCTCCGATTGTTGGTAAACTGTTGGATCAAACTGTGCCTGTACGATAGTGATGACTGATACAAACGTGTGCCATTTTGAAAATTGCAATAATGAACATTTTGTTATGTGCATTGTGTTTATTTTCTGTTGTAAAATGGCTATCAAAAGATTGTGAATGATTTTCACTTCTTGCACTCCAGTGTCATGAAACTAACCTGTTTGCCATAAGATAATCAGTGTTGGGCTCTTCAGAGCTACATAATGGGTTGCTCTGCCTTTTAGAAATAGCAGGATGTGCTTTTTTTTCCTTTTTTTTGTAAATCATCAGTGTAACCACTTGTGGCAGAGAAGACAAAAATATTTTGTGATTACTGTGACACTAACATAATAGGGATGGAATTGAATCTGAGAGCGTTTTAATACTTGTGAAAAATGCATGAAAAGAATGCCAGAAACTACTCAAATCAAATCAGTGCAGCCACATATCTGATTAAACTAGGTTTCATTATTGTAGCTTTAGGCACAACTAGTTAAAATTTGTGTTTACCTGCTAACAGCAAAAAGGAATCGTTGCAGACTACAGGAATGAGTCCAGTAACCTGCTTCTCTCTGTTGTCCAGGTCCACACTTTGTTGCTGTCAACAACAAGAATGAAATCATAGTGACCGATTTTCATAATCACTCTGTGAAGGTAAGATGAACTGTCTCTAAAGCTGCCAGCTTGACTATTTAGAGACTCTGTTTTTACTGTAGACTCACTACACCTCCTGACTCCCTGACCCAGGTGTACAGTGCCGATGGAGAGTTCCTGTTTAAATTCGGCTCTCATGGTGAAGGCAACGGCCAGTTCAATGCTCCCACCGGTGTGGCTGTGGATGCCAACGGAAACATCATCGTAGCCGACTGGGGAAACAGCAGAATACAGGTGAGGCAGGTTCAAAATTAAAGCATCAAGACTTGAAAGTTAATTTTTCTAATACAGAGCTTGAGTTCCATTTCAATAGCAGAATACTGCAGTTCACATAAAAGCAATTTGAAATCTGCAGACGTAATGAGCAAAGTCATTTTTAGTGCTAACACTATTGTCAGGTTGGGTAGCAACAGATTATAAGCAATTAGGTTTATGTCATCAGACTACAAAAAAAACCCAAAAATAAAATAAAAAATCTGTTGAGATTACATTTTCACATTTACACTTGATTACTAGAGGTGCATTGTCAAGGATTACCTGATTGCATTTTAAGTCCGTCTTTAAAATTTGACAGATTTCAAATTGCTTGTGGTTTTTGAAAGTTCTATCTTTGTGAGGGTAATTTTATTTGCCCAACTGTCAATGATGAATATGTGCATTTTATGTGCACTGAAAATCTTTAAAGGGAAAAAAAGAATATTTGGGGAATTCAAAATTTAGTAGCTGCATCCATTTTTTAAGATAAGATGCATTATTTCCAATTCTTGATTTTGAAGTAATCCATTTTTTTGACAGTAGATTGCATTTTTTGTCATCAAATTTATTACATTACTAATTACAATAATTGGCATGTGATTATTATTCAGTAACTGACTACATTTGAAAACTGTCCTACCCAGCGTTGATTATAATTGCTGTAACATGAACATGGTAAACTGTAAACCTTTGTGTTTGTCTGTCTCAGGTGTTTGACAGCACGGGGTCCTTCTTGTCCTACATTAACACCTCGGCAGACCCACTCTACGGCCCCCAGGGCCTCGCCCTCACCTCAGACGGACACGTGGCTGTTGCAGACTCTGGCAATCACTGCTTCAAAGTTTACAGATATCTGCAGTAGACTGAGGGAAGACATCGCCAGCTCCTGCTTAAAAACATAAATGGCCCACACTGCTTGTAGACATAGAGCTGCAACGTGCCTGCACACTTTACAGAGGCCCCATATCCACAAATCAACTTCCTACTCAACTTTTCTGTACATACTTTAGAGGTTCTCATATCCAGAGTCGAAGGCGAAGACAGGACAACAAAAATTTAGAAGAAAAACAACATAAAATCCATAAAATTGTGCAGTTCTGCATTTTTTAAAAAAGAGACAAAATAGGCAACTTATTTCCAAAACTATTGCAAAATTAGTTCCTTCTCTCAGTGCAAAAATAAAAAAAAAATCAAAAAAACCCAACAAATTCAGAGAAATAATGGTTTAAAGGATATACAATTTTACTCAGGAATAAATCATCCTGCAATTAGATATTTCTCGATCTTATTGGTTTGTCTACTTTAAACTGTCTTTAAGCTTTGAACTAGTGCTGTTAACCAAATCCACAGAGGAAAAAAAAGAAGAGAAAAGAAAAGAATAAACCTCTGGCACAAGGCCTTTCAGCTCTATTTGTCTAAGTGTAACTTCACCAGTAGACAGCCTGTCAGTTGGCTAACTTGGTGATACACTGCAATTTTTTTTTTGGGCAACGCAGATGGGCAACACAAAACATGCAAACCAGCAAACAAAGCGAGACACAGAAGCGTACGTTTTCCAACCTGTTTCCTGATGCTTTGGGATTGAAACAATAATGCTCAGGCTTCCCTTTGAACACTGTTGCATGTCAGTGTGCTCCAAAAAAAAATTTACCTTGTTGTCACTGCCTTACTATGTTTTCTATCAGTGAACGCAACACAACCAACAGGAATGTGCTGTTTTAAAAAAAAAAAAAAAAAAAGGATTTTGTTTGTTACATTCTGCACCTTATCACTCTGAGATTATTCGTTTCTTTTCAGTCGTATGATAAGTTGACCTATATGCAAGTTGTTTTGTTTTGGTACCCAAAGACGAGCATCAAGAAGCACAAAATGCGATACGTGAACCAGCTCTGCTTAAAGTCGGATCCCTTCTGGCTGATCTTTCTCTTCTAATAACCAAAACAGACTTCATATATCTCACCCCACTAGTTCTTGCACTTTCGTCTCTTCATACCTACAACCTACTGTAGTTGTACATATTTACTAGGTGTATATAAGGATTTGGTGTCCATGTTATTTCACTATATAGCCTACTTATTCCAGCACTTAAACGGAATCAAGGTCATGCCAAGTAGTAGCCAACTGAATGACTGAAACATCAATGGAACAAAGTTGTATACACATTATTTGCTGTATTTTATTTTTTCAAAGGATTTAATTTATTTTTAATTTTCTTTTCTACATAATTTGTTCTACAAATTATTTTTCTAATTGGTGCATTTGAACTGTCTCCTCTTTGCCAAACATCGTTGTACATTGTAACTTGTAGCACTGACGGCTGTTTCTCTCCTTCGCCTCTTGCCCAAAAAAAAGCTCAACACCCGGTAACTTTTTCCCCTTCCGCCAAAAACGTATCGTCGTAAGTTGTCGTTGAACATTGCACAGAATACAAATATTATAAGAGTTATATAGTTTGCAAGAGTAATATATGCCTCTATGTATAGTTCATATAACATAATCAGAAAGTGTACTGTATATTACAATCATATTCTCGTTGTAGCTGACAAGCACCTTTATCATGGATTTTTCCGGCATTCATTTGCTCTGTAGTTCCGTGTTTTGAAGGTTATTTCATCCTAGAGGAAACACAACACCAGCTAAAAACGCAGTGACAGATTTTTCTTTCTTTTCCACCTGTGTTTTATGAAAACTCTGTCCCCAGTAACTGATCCCTGATTCATTCTGTCTGTTCATTTTCCATTTATTGACAGATTAAGTTCTCTTCCCTCTTCCGTTTTATTAGACCCCTGTGTTACTGTGGTTTTATTTTTTATTTTTATGTCTATGCCTTTAAATGTCACTGACCTATTTGTGTGAAACAACTGATAGCACATATAAATAAAACACTACATCAACAATTGTGTGTACAACCGTATACTACAAGAGGCCAGACTTTACAAGAAGTAATCATCACACTTGTGTAATCATGGAAAAGATATGATTGTAAATTAAAGAATGACACTATCAACTGCTGTGGAAATTGTCTGCTTTATATAACTGTCCTAAATTTAGTTACGTCCATTTTCTGTGCAATAGCTATATTTTCTTTTTATGCAGATTAGAAATCAGTGTCTCCCCCTCGTTTCTGGCCAAGATGAGAGTCTGTGTCCTTATTGATAGTCCCATCATGACTAGTATAGCAGTATTTTTGTTAAATTGCTCCACTTTCAAGTGGTGATTTCAAAAACTGTCAAAGCAAGCTGCAGACATGATCACTTTGATGCCTTACAACTTGTGGGAATCAGAATAATTTCTAGAAACTCATATGAATTTCAAGTTATGTCTGTAGTGGTAATGGAATTTTAGATTTT